AAAAAAACAAAAACACCAAAAACCCACACTCCCCTGATAAAAATTCAAACTACAAAGTAAATCAATAGTCCCCCAACTACGTTTCTACCCCATCGTTAGTCTCCTTTATTGCCTTTCTCCTTGTTCATCTTTTTCATTTTCATTCTTCTGTTCTGAAACCAGATTTTGACCTGTCTCTCTGTGAGGTTTAAAATCCTAGCTACTTCGTAACGGCGGTCTCGGGTGAGATACATGTTAAACAGAAATTCCTTTTCCAGTTCCAGAGTTTGATACTTTGTGTAGGGACAACGCTTTTTCCTCGTTGAACGAGCGTGGATCCAGTTTGCTGCAGGGTTATCTGGAAGAAGGGAGGTATATAGGGAACGGGGAAGGGGGGGGAGAGAAAGGTCGTTAAATTAATTTAACGAAGGATGGACTGTTTTCACAACTTTGGAGGAATTATCATAAAAGCCTTAATGCCCCAGTCTGTTTACTGTACAAATGATGTCTTGATGGTAGGTGGTTATGTGGAGTCTTTTATGGGTGCTTGTTGCTGCTTGCGCTGGGGTAGGCGTCTAGACGTTTTTATAGGTTAGTAAAACTATCAGTTTTGCACATTCGAGCCTTACAGGTTTCGGCAATAAATCAAAGGGGCAATTTCTTTCTTTCTTTCTTTCTTTCTTTCTCTCTCACTTTCTTTCTTCCTTCCTTCCTTCCTCGCTTCCTCTCTTACTTTCCTTCCTTCTCTCCTTCTTCCTTCCTTCCTTCCTTTCTTTCTTTCTTTTTCTCCCTCTCTCTCTCTGCACCTATTCCTGTCTCTATTCCTCTCTGTCTCTCCTACTCCCTATTTTGTTTTGTCTTTTTCTTTAATTTTCTTTCTCTTGTCTTTCTTTCTTTCTTCCTTCCTCATTTGTTTCCTTGTTTTATTTTATTTTATTTTTTTTTTTTTTTTTTACTTACTTGGGTCAAGTTGCTGCTGCTTCTCCTCTTTCAGATCGCTGCTCGGGCTGGGGTTGTGGCTGCAGGCGGCGGGGTCCTTGGAGCTGCCGGCAGGAGCTTTCTCCCGGGACTCCTGGAGGAAGGAGCTGCACGTGTACTCGGGCACACCGATCCCCTGGGACTCCCGAGACGAGGAGCACTCAGTCCTTTTGGAGGAGGAGGAAGAGGAGGAGGAAGACGAGGAGGCGGCTGCTCCCGTCTCCGGCTTTATCCCGTAGTGGCGCCCGTTGGAGGAGCCGGAGCTGGACGCGGAGCCGCCGCTGCTGCTGCCTCCGCTGCCTCCGCTGCCTCCGCTGCCTCCGCTGCCTCCGCTGCCGCCGCTGCCGCCGCTGCCGCCGCCGCCGCCCGGGAAGCCCGGGAAGGGCTCGATCCAGGAGCGCACGTAGCGGCCAGCGTCGGCTGCCCCTAAGTGGGGCTGGTGCATGTAGGGGTGGTAGATCCCGGTCATTGCCGCAGACGGCTGGTGGTGAACAGTGGACCAGGAGGTGGAAAACACGGTGGATTTTGGTGCAAAGCTACAAGAGGAAAAATCTGAACCCTCTGCAACACCTGATGGCCTGGAGGTCGCACTGTGACCTCCCTGGACGAATCTACTCCCATAAACTTCTTCGCTTTCATGGCCTATGAGAGAATCGACATAATAGTTACTTATGGTGCCACTAGACGACATTTTAGGCTCCCCTCTTAGTCATATAAAAGGTTACACTGTTAACTGTATATGATACCCTCCCGGAGAACAATCGTAGTATTTTGCAGACTGCAACCCTCAACCATTGGTTGCGGAGCCCACGTGATCATATTTACCAATACTGCGAGTAAATCAATCCGCTAAACTGGGGCTGCTGTGATTAAAAAAAAAATCATCATCAACAACGGCCCCGCACAGCGCGCCGCATCGCCTGCGCCCCCGCACCGCATCGGGGCCGCCCGCCCGCCCGCCTGCCCTGCCCTGCCCTGCCCGCCCTGCGTGCCCGGCTGCCCACCCTGCCCTGCCCGTCCTGCCCTGCCCGTCCTGCCCTGTCCTGCCCCCCCCGCTTGCCTGCCTGCCCTACTTGCCCGCCACCCTGCCCGCCTGTGTGCCCTGCCCGCCCGGGGCGCGGCGGGCGTGGCCGCGCTGGCAGCCCACGGCCGCGGCGGGCGCGGACTATTTCTTCACCTTCTTTGAGCGATTTCTGCCATTCATTTCTTAATCAATGAGAGGCAGGGTGTTTAAATAAATCCAACAGCCTTGGCTTGCTAATCACACTCCAAGCTGCTGAGGGAACCCGCTGGGAAAGGGGGATTCTTGCCTGTAAAAACAAACCATCGCAAGCTGGGACTGTAACGACTTCTCATAAAACAGGAAAATGTTACAGTAAAAGCACATTGCGGTACTTCCATATTTCAGAGCATGTGCGGGTATTATTATCCTCTCCCCCCACCCCCGGACAGAAAGTTTCCATGGAAAGGATACACTTTTAAAAAGAGATGCCCATTGTGTTGTTTTAAAACAGGTGGAAGACCTCTGTAATGATTTTATGCCTTTCAATAAAAATTTTATGAGGTGTATTTGATTATAGATTAATGTGTCCCTAATAAAATGGACGGATGGAAACAGCAAAGCCTGTGTCTCCCAGCACAACTGACGTGTGGCTGAACACATGCTCCTCTATCTGAGGAACTTTGGGGCTACACAGCCTTAACACAGCCCCCCTCAAGGTGTCCAGTGCGGCCCGGGAGGGACGCGGGCAAAGGCGACCCGGAGGAGCTGGCCTGGCCCAGCAGCTCGGGGGCTGTCGCTGACCCCAGCTCGCCGGCAGAGCTGTCTCCTCCGCCCCTAGTTCAGGGGGAGCCACGTTCAATGCCTACGTGAGATTTTTTTTGCCCGCTTTGCTTTCTTTTCCATGCCTTCCCTCCCCACCCTTCCCTCCTGGCCTGGTTTTTCTTGCCCGAGCGTAACGATGCCCCGTTAGTATTGAAAAGTAGATTACCCATGGTCTTCTGCCCACGCCTGCTTCCCCGGGCGAGGGACGGTGGCTGTGTCGGGATCTGGAGGAAACGCAGAGAGTTAGTGGCGAGCCCGCAGCACAGCCCGCCGGGGGCACGGACAGCAGCGCTGGGAAAACACTTCCTACTCGCGGGCCGTTATGAGGAAGGGACTGAAATTCCTGTTTATTTAATGATTTATTGCTCTCCTAGGTTGTTTTCTTCCTTTTTTCTTTTTTCTTTTTTTTAAATATTTTTTTCTTTTCCTTTACCTTTTTTTTTTTTTTTACCTTTTTGCCTTTTTTTTTTTTAAATCATTTGACTTTTGCATTTTCTTCTGCGATTTTGTAATTTCTATTACATTGTTCTCTAAAAGCAGGGTTTGTGATATGGCCAAGAATTGCCCCTTACTTCAAACAGATAAAAATTGGTAAAGCAGGCAGATTAGGGTGAGCCTCCTTTCTACATACGTTAAACTCTTGGTATGGAACCAGCTATTTACTTCCCACTGCCGAAACTTCTCTGGTGTTGTAGCGAGTATCTTTAAAGGAAAAGAAAAGGCCGTGCAAATGTATGCAGTATTTAAGGAGTTTGGGTTATTTTGTTGATTTGGGGGTTTTGTGTTTTTAGTGATTTTTTTTTTAAGCATCGTGTTTCTGTTTGTTTTCGAAACGGGAACAAGCACAAAGTACCTAGGTGCTTGCGGCTCTTGCAGCTTCGAAATGATGATGCCTTGGTTTGAGGAATATATAACCTCTTCCCTATGAGTAAATGTGCACATGAGGAAGTACTAGCTTAAATTAAATATCAGCGACGAAAGACCAAACAGAATGCCACCAACAGCATTATAAGCAGTATCTGTCACCAAGTCGCACAATATTGGCTCTATCTTGAGTTTAATTTCTTGATTTAGAAACAGCTCAGGGGAGAAATGGGCGTTGATTGTGAGCAAGCTGGTTTCCCAGCGCGAACAGTAGCCATGCTACTTTTCCAGTACCCGTTTGAAGGTGAAAGTATGCCCAAGTATTTGCACTTCAGTTTGAAGTCATGTTCATTTGCAAGCTATTTGCAGTTCTACTTAGTATATCTGCTCACACGGGCATTCATCCGCTCTCAGCACACACGCCCTTCCTCAGCTGCCAGCGCAGAGCCCTGCTAATACCATTTTTCAGCTATGTACAGAAAGGGTTAAGAGTCGTGAACGTCATTAGCTGGATGTGTGCTACTAAAATGGAATTGCGCGAAATAAAACTATCTCTGAGCAAACAGGAACGGTGCAGGGTGACAAAAGTGGGTCTGAAGAGGCTGGTGTACTTTTGCAAGCACGCCTGGGAGGGTTTCTGCTCAAAAAAAGTCCACCTCACCAGATGCTGGGAATATTTTGAGGGAATATATTTTTCATCCACGGTCTTCTGAAAGCTGTTGAGCCGACCGAAAACCGAGCTCCTTAACATTTAGTTATGCTCAGCTTTGCATTTATTATGGAGGGGTTTTGTTGGTTTTTTCTTCTTTTTTTTTTCTTTTTTCTTTTTTCTTTTTTTTTCTTTTTTTTTTCTTTTCTTTTTTTTTTTAGGGAGCAAAGACACGAAATCAAAGTCTGCACATTGAAAGAACGCAGTGAGCGGTATTTTTTAAATCAACATACGAACATCAAATAAAATGACACACATATTCCTGACGGCTTGTAGTAGAAAGATTTTTTTTATCACTTACCATTTACGAGTTGTACGAGTTGATTGGATGAGGATGTCCAGTTTAAGTCATAATATTTTACAACATTTTTTATACTCTCCCTTTTTTTCTTTCCTTTTTTTTTTGTTTTTTTTTTTTTTTTGCATTCAGTTTGTCAGACTGCGAACATCACACAATATTTTATCAATTAATCAGTTGTTTACAGAGACATTTATAAATTAATTAGGTTTACATCATTTCCCGGCCCAGTCTCCACCCCACCCCTTAGGGAAAAAAAAAAAAAAAAGGAAGGGAAAAAAAATGGAGGAAAAGAAAGAAAGAATGCCAGGCAGAAAGAAACACACACAAAGACCAGAATATGGTAGAAAAGGTACACCAGTCCAAAAAGTTTCTGATAGAGAAAGATCAGGAGACCAACCTGCATCCGTGCTTTAAACATTTGCAGAAAACCAAAGGAACCGCAGTAGTTTACAGAGTTTATTGCATTATACATGCAAACAGAACATGCACAAGAAGGACAATTTGCTGCTGAACGACTACTATTCCACATATGCACCACAAGGAAATGTCTACAATGGAGAAGAAGGAGATATTCCATTTTACGAAGGACAATCTCTAAGTTCATTTGAGAGGATAGTTACATTATAATGTGCTTCTCTTTCCCCCCGCCCCCACAGTTTCCCCCCGCTCTTTTTCTGAAAGTATTGAATGTACTCAAAATGTTATGGCCCGTGTAACAGCCCCACATAAATACCATTTTGTTAGTAAAAACATGAAAAAGTCACATTGCTTGGATGTTCGACAGTTCCAATAAGTTAAGACCAAATGATAATATTCAATAATAGTTACCCTGCATTACGATGAGAACAAAAATAAATTACACGTGCTAGGTTTTATATATACTCATCATAGTAATACATATTCACTTGCAGCGCTAAAAGAAGGACGAAGAGTCACATTCTATCAGAAAACAAAACAAAACAAAACAAAACTGGAAAATGCCGGGTTTTGCCAGAGTCTCTCCTGCCTTTATCAAGTGGTGGTGCTGTGCCCATTCCTCACTGGTGCCCCCCCCCGGGGTTAGGGTTTAAGAGAAGGTCAGATTAGCGGTCAGTTCCCGGATTCGGTTCTCCCTGCTCATCTTCTTGAGCTTCATTCTGCGGTTTTGAAACCAAATCTTGACCTGCCTGTCAGTGAGGTTTACGCTCTTACTGATCTCTAGACGGCGCTCTCGAGTGAGATACATATTGAATAAGAACTCTTTCTCTAATTCCAGTGTTTGGTGTTTAGTATAAGGACACCTCTTCTTTCTGCCACTCTTTGCAGTTAGCCAATTGCTTGTTGGAGTATCAGACTTGATTTCCTCTATCAAAATCAAAGAAGAAGAAAAAAAAAATCAAAAATACCTCAGACTGTTAGAGTGTACCCTTGGCCATGACCCCTCCTCTGCAGTGTCTGGCAGATATGGTGGATGTGGGCATTAAACACCGCTCGGGTGAGGTGTGGGCTCAGTGAGGGGACCTGCTGCCAGGCTGGGCTCGCCTGTCCCCAGCACGGCACCCTGCCCTGCGGCCACCCCGCTCTCCTGATCCGGCCAGCAAGGGTCTCTCAAGTTTTCGGCCGGCGTTTAACATTTCAACAATATTTAACCTGCCATCCGCCCCATGGACACATCTAAACGGGTCTAGCCTCGCCATGGCCGACTCAGGCTCCCACGACAATTGCCACGGAAATATTCCAATTACAAAATAGTCTCGCACTGTATTTTGAAGCAGCATCCCCACACACATCAGCTGAATCACACAAGCACACCTATAAACAGATATAGACATTTCCCAGACAAAATGATATACAAGAAATTACGACCCCCTGTCTTGGATTTTTTTTTTTCATTTTTCTTTTAGGTTTTCTTTTCCCCACCAGAAAGAAATCTACCCCACATGAAGCTAGACCTGAGCTACTAAATATAATTCAGATAAAGAAATTATCAATGCACACAGAGGGTAAAAATCGACCTAGAGGTTGCAAAGTACATTTTGATAGCAGAAAATTTCTCGTTTTCGGATTCTTCGATACACGCCGTTCGAAAGAAAGGCGTTAGTGCACTTTAAAAGGGAAAATAAAATCAGAGTGCCACCACTTTCAGCTTTCAAAAGCATTTCAAAATACTGGTGCACTTTTGGAGACCAACCCAAGATTATCTAAAGCATCACATTGAAAA